GGGATGGGGGAAGGCTGGGGACAGCAGGCCTTGCTGGTACATCTCTTGAAGATTCTGGGCCCGAGTTTGGTCTGTCCATGCTGGGAGGTGGGGATGGCCTGGCCTATCTCCTCCCTGAGGCCTCAGAGTCCCCGAGCACCAGGAAGGAATCAGATTGCGGTGACAGGGCAGGAGACACCTGGGGTGTCCTAGAGGGGCTGGTCTGCAGCCCAGACTTCCAGCTTCCCAGCCAGCACACTGGCCGAGGAACCCTGGGGGAGACCGGGGGAAGGGGCTGCCAGTGCAGGTGGAGTGAGGCGATGTTGGGGTGGTCCCTGGTGCCGGACCCCACCCATACCATGGTGTCCTGGTCATAGATTTCAATGACAATAATAGGGGGGTCGTCCCTCAACTCATGAGCTTCGCCATAGAGCTCCAGGTTGTCGAATACCAGCATCTGGTCCCAGGTGGGGCACAGGGTCTCATTCAGCACCTGCAGCACAGGGCGGGGGAGACGGGTAATCAGTGGTGGTGGGTGGGCGACACCCGAGCAGGAGTCACCCCTAATCACTCTGGTTTCCAGGGGACTCAGGGGCAGGAGGGACATATTCCCTGGCTCTTCTGGGAATCTTAAAATGAAGGTTGATATGAAGTCTGCTCCTGACCGTCTTCCCCCAATCCCTGCCAAGGTCTTCCCTGTCCTCCATGCAGAATGTAACCACAGTTAAAGCCCTCACCAGTGTGGCCTGGGCCGGCAGTTATCTGCAAGCCTTCCCTCTAAGGGCCTGGGGTACTGACCGATCTATTTCTCCAGGCCCCAGAAGCTCACAGGCCTCCCCCAGTGCCCTCCCTCCTCCCCTGGCCCTCACCTCTGTGCACTGACTCTGGTTGATAAAGAAGACGCGGGCGAAGGGGTCTGAGAGGCCACTGCTGTCGGCGGCAAAGAGGCTCCGAGCCTGGTACATGTGGGCGCGGAGCTGGAAGGCCTGCTTCTCTGTGGGGAGAGCAGGCTGAGGTGCTGGGAACAGGCGCCCCGCCAGCGCCCTCCCAGGGTGAGGGCTGGGAGCCAGGGGCTGCCCGGGTGCAGGCATCCTCACTCACTGGTGTAGACCAGGCTGATGGGTGGGAAGGAGTGCAGGCCCAAACCCTGGGCCGCCTTGACCTCCTCGAAGCCGCAGGGCAGGCCACACAGGAAGTCCTTGCGCTGCTTGCTGAGGCCCAGCCACAGGTAGAGCTCCAGCTTGGCTTGCACTGTCCAGCCCGCCGAGCCGAAGCCCCGCTTCCCCGGCAGCTGGGGGTGGGCACGGGGTCAGCTGCCGGAGCCCGTGGGGTAAGGAAGGGGCAGGGGGCTGGAGGAGGCCATGGTCAGGGGACCTGTGTCCCTCTGCAGCCATCCCACTGGGCTGTGGGGTTGGGAACACAGCACCAAGGAGAATGGATGGGATGGGACCCCCTGCCGTTCCTACTCTCTCCACCTCTTCTCTGAGCACATCTCTGAGCACACCATCAGCTCAGGCCAGCCAGACCCGGGGGTGGGGGTGCTGCTCCCTCCGAGGGGAGGCTGACCCCTTGAAAGAAGCCCAGACCCCTCCACCCCACAATCTCGCTTCCCTTCTGGCACCTTGAGGAAGAGGGTCTTGACTTTGGCGCAGTCCTTGCCCAGCTCCTCCTCCACGATGGAGAAGAGCAGGTCCTTGGAGGGCACCCGGGCGTAGGCGATGCGCTTGTTGTTGCTCATCATCCAGATGAAGACGTCGGGGATGCTGTGCTGGGGCTGGGGTGGGCAGGGTGGGGGCCAGTGAGGGAGAGGTCCTGCCTCTTGGCCAGGCCTGGACCCACAGAGGGAAGGACCCCTGATGCTGGGATTTCCTTCTCTTCCCACTAATCCAGCGGGAAGAACATCCCTGTCCCCCAGTGGCTGTCAGAGCAGGAGGGGCCTCCTCGGTGATCTGGCTCAACCCCTCCTGTGCAGCCCCACTTCCGCCTCGGGTCACTTGGGTTTGGGGCTGGCATCCCCTCTGTGCATGCCTTCGGGGGGCACACCTCGTCTGCCAGGAAGCGCAGCTTCTGCAGGAAGTTCTGGCACAGCCTCAGTTTGTCTCGCACAGTGTGCCGCTTCACTTGTGCCCGCAGGGTCTTCGCCTGCTGCCCCATGCTCTCCTGTGGGGTTGGGGGGTGGATGTAAGTGGGACTCAGTCCACGATGTGTGATGGAGGGGTGGCCCTGGGGGCTGTGACTTCAGAGACAGATGTTCCCACATCTTGGGTTCCCTTTCCATCTCCAACCCTCCCTCGTCCCCCGTGTGGTCCAGCTGTGTCCTCACCAGCTCCCGCATGCAGGACTTGAGGCGCTCTCGGTCTAGCCTGGTGCGGGACGAGTGGCTCTGGTCCTTGTCAGCAAGCGAGAGGAAACGGCTGGGGCCAAAAGTGGGGGGCAGGGCTTAGCAGAGCCCACCTGCCAGCAGGAGGCCTGCAAATGCCTCCTTTTCTGCCAGCCCCCACTTCTGCCCACCCCGCCACCCCCGCCCCATTCAGCAGCCCTGCTGCTCACCAGCAGCCACAGCTCAGCTCCTCCAGGACGCCCCGCAGTCGACGCTCAGGGTAGGGCTTCTCCGTTTTGATCATCTCCTGCACATCATTCAGGCCCTCTTCCTGTGAACCAGGAGTGTGAGCCCTAGCCCCTCTCAGCCTCCCCAGATGTCTTCCCCCATTCATCAGGGGGATGGGGGCTAGTGCCCTAGGACCTCCCATGAGCACTGTCCCTGGAGTGTCCCACCATCATAAGGAAAACACCAGTTTCTGTTTTCAGAGCCTGGAGGCCTTCATGTTCATGGGTCTTCAGTTCCTGAAGGAAGAAGCCCTCTGGCCTGAGTCTGGTGACTCACAGGGGCTGGGCAGAACTCAGAGCTAGATGTGAGGGGTAAGGGGCGCAGGCCAGAGACAGAGGGGTTGGCCAGCTGCCTCCAGGGAAACCCAGGACTGGACGGGCCAGGATTCCCAGACAACACTCCAGGTAGCCCTCAGGCCCCCCACCACTCCTGGGACTGGGGCTGGGACAGGAACTCCTGCTGGGGCCATTCCTGTAGTCCTTCCCTACCCCAACAGCAAGCTGCTGGACAGGCAGGCCTTGTATGTTGCAAGGGAAGCTTCCAGGCTGAGTGAGGCCATCCGAAGCACCCCCACCTCTCCCTTTCCCCTCCCACCCATGGCCTGGCCCTGACCAGCTTGTCTGCAATGTGGTCCATGATGTTGGCGTTGTAGAGGCGGCGCCGCTGGTCCGGCCACCAGCTCTTGATGTAGATGCAGGGCTTGCGCTCCAGGTAGGGCAGATGGAAGTAGTTCCTGGGGTGGGGGTGGGGCGGGCAGAGCAGGTGGGAGGTTGAGGACTGGGTGCCCAGGGAGGTGGGGGGGTGGGCCATGAGAGGATTGGGGGCAGCGGGCAGGGCCACCCAGGACCCTGTGTCCCACCTGGCTCACCTATCAGTGATCTGGGGCCGCATGGGTGGGGTGGAGGAGACTGAGGCTAGGTCCCCAGCCTCGTCAGTCTCGTCATCACTTGAGTTCTGGATCAGATCAACTTCCTCCTCGTCCCCTGGCTCCTTCCGAGGCCGAGGCCGCTGGGGTCTTGACAGGCCATCAACTTCATTCCCATAGTTGCCTGGAGGCAGGGGAGGGCTTGAGAGGGCCTAGAGTCCTTCCCACCAGGCCCCACTCTCCCCTCCAGTCCAGAGGTTTGTGGGAGGGAAGAGGGAAAATCAGGGAAAGGGGCAGGTGCTGGGGTCTGAGCCAGCTTGGAGAGGATAGAACACTAGCCAGGGAAAGAGACCTCCCTAGGAGCCCCGCTGACCGCTGAGCTCAAGGTCCGGCCCAGGAAGTGACCCTTATTCCCACCCTCTGCTCTCCAACCCGGCAAGGCCTCGCTCCCTTTTACAGGGAGGGCATCTTTCCTCCCCGTGTTGCAGACACAGCCTAGCCCTTAGGTGGAACGAAGGTGCAGCCGGTGGGGCGTGTGTGCTCCCACAGGCAGACGCTGTGTGCTGCGTGGGCCCCTGAGGACACTGGAGGGAAGTGGTCCAAGTTCTCCCCACTCCGGGGCTGTGGAGCCGGGCCTGGCAGTTACCACCCAGCAGCCCCCAAGCCTGAAGACCCCTCCGTGAGCCCAGCTCTCACCTATGGTGACCTCAAAGGTGATGGGCTTGTCTCCGTTTTTCCGGTCGATCATTGAGGCCTCCAGGAAGGCTCCAAATAGAAAGAATTCTTCCACCTTCCCTGTACAGCTCTGTGGAGAAGGTGGTTCAAACCATCCTGAAACTTAGTGGGGATGTTGGGCCTGGGGCCAGGCCTCCTCCTACCATCTCGCAGACAGGCCCTGGGGGCTAATGGTGGGGGACAGCCTACCCAGCCGTGGAGCTGGGAGCCCAGACACTGAAGGCCCAGTTCCTTTTGCCCCCCAGCCTGGATGTCCCTGGGGGAAAGGCAGCTCTGTCCAGCATGAGGACAGCCACCGCCAGGAATAGGGCAGAGGCAGGGCTCCACCTCAGGACCTCCGGGCAGAGCGGTGGCAGGCAGTGGAAGGGGACACTGCTTCCTGGGGAGGGAGTTCTCATCCTGGGGGCCTAGCCCCCGAGGCAAGCAGGGCGGCCACAGGCCGAGCCCAGGCCCAGGCTGCTGAGGCAGGAAGGGGGCTGAGCAGGGGACTCTGGAGGACAGCACAGCGCTTGCACCCCGCAGCAGGGGCCTCACCTCCGAGATGGGCGTGGCCGGCTCCATCTGCACCTCCGTGGAGCTGGTGAGCTCAGGGTTGGAGGTGTCCAGGATTTCCACCGCCAGGCCGAGCATGAGGCGGGCGCGGAAGGACACGCCCTCCCCCAGGCCCTCGTTCAGGTCCTGGTGCTCATCGAGTAGCGTGTAGTTGCGTGTGGAGCCGTACATGTTCACCCAGGCAGGGCCCAGCGTGGGCAGGAAGCCTGCGGGTGGGGGGCAGAGGGTGGAGGGGCTCAGTTGGGGTGGGGAGACCTCTTTGGGGGTGCTCCCAGCCTGCACCTCCTGGTTGCTGAGCTGAGGACCTCATGCCTGGCTCGGGAAGTCATCTGAGGCTAGAGAGGGCCTGTGGGGCAGCTTGAGGCTCTCAAGGGGCCAGCAGGGAGAGCTCATGTCTGCTGTGCACTGTGACAGGGTGGCCTTCTCACTCGCATGGGGCACTTTTGTGTGTCTGCTTATTCTCTGCAGGGGCCTGAGCTGGCTGTGGCGCCCCACATACACACACATCCATTTCTGTGGAGCAAAGTCATGCTCCCTGCTGCCCAGTGCCTGCTCCAGGGGCTGCCTGCAAGCCACTTGAAGGACAGCTGCGTGCCACCACGGTCTCACCCTGCTTCCCCAGACCACCCCCCCCTCCTCTCCAAAGGTCCTTCCTCTCTGCCTCTGCCTGTCAAATGCTCTTCCCCCATGAAGCCCTCCCGTTTCCTAGTCCCAGCTAGTTTTCTCCTGTTGGGATTTGTCGTGTCTCATGTGAAACATGGATCCAATTCTGCCTTATGTGTTTGGCTTTTGTTGTGCCTAGTTTATAAAAAATATCACAGCATTTTAAAATTTGAGATACACTTCATGTAACATAAAATTCACCATTTTTAGGTATGCATTTCAATGGTTTTTAGTGTATTCACTATGTTGTGCAATCATCCAGGACTTTTCCATCCCCCTCAAAAGAAACCCCGCATCTTTTAGCAGTTCATCCCCCTCCCCCTCCCCCACCCCCTTGAAACTGCTCATCGACTTTCTGTCTCTACGAATTTGCCTATTCTGGATATTTCATATAAATGGAATCGTACAATCTGTGGTCTTTTGTGTCTCCTGCCTCAGGTTTTGAGAATTTGGTAGCTCATGCACCTCCCTCATTCCCAGTGAGCACCGTGAGGACAGGATGGATTCCTCCCTTGCTCTGTATCCCTTGTACGCAGTTCAGTGCCCGGGTCCTAGGAAGGGTCAGTCCTTCCAAGTCCCCACACGTCTGTAGATAGGCACTGTGGTGGTATACGCATGTGTATGTAATGTGTATGTACATATGCACACATAAATAATTGTTATTATTTTCATTTTACAGATGAGAAAACAGGTACAAAGCTCACACATCTTCTAACTCTCAGAGCAGCTGGGGTTTGAATCCAGGCAGCCTGGCTCAGACAGGCCCAGGCAGCTCTGTGCAGACCTGAGTCATGAGTTTCCACCCTTCCCTTGAGGCAGAGGCTGCTCACAAAACCCTGACCACGCCCAGCGCCTCTCCAGCTGAGGTGCGGGATGGTGGTGATGTGTGAGGGATGGTGGTGGCATGTGTGGGGGTCTCATTGACTCCATCCCTTCAGCCCCCCAACCCCAGCTTCCTGCTACTGACCTTTGTCTCCGTCGTTGGAAATCTTGCGCAGGTCAATGAAGTGGGTGCCGATGGCCACGTCATTGACCTTGTCTGAGTCCCGGATCTGCACTTTCATGCGCTTGCAGAGTGGGGGGAACAGGTCTGTAAAAACCACCTGCTCATTCCACAGCGGCTCGTAGCTGCTCTTCTGCACTGAGGTCTTGCCCTGGTGGGAGGAAGTGAGGGTTTGAGTGTGTGTGAGCACGTGTGTCTGCGTGTGAGTGTGTGTCTATGTGCTATGTGTGGCATGTGGTGGGTGTACCTATGGTGCACGTGTGTATATATATGTGTTATGTGTGGCACGTGGTGGGTGTGCACGTGTGTACGTGCGTGTGTATGCATGCTCATCTCCTCACTCTTCCTCCCGACCAGCCTCTCAGACTCTCCTCCCTGTCAGTGTCCTCCCTCAGTTCTTGGTCTCTGTGACCTGGGGCCAGGGAGGAATCCCTGAGGCTCAGACTGGCTTCGCCCCCAGCCCCTCTGAGCTGGAGCTCTGCTCATCTCTCCTCACTTCCAGAGGTGAACGCACCAAAGTGATCAAAGGCTAGTTTGGAAGCTTCTGATTCTGCCTCATGTCTGTCCCCAGGACCCCATGCCCATCCCCCTGCACCCTGGTGCCTGTCACCCCACTCCCCAGCCTCCTGCACCCTGTACCCCAATACCTTCTGGCCAGCAAAGAAGACTTGCACGTAGGGGTCAACCAGATCCTTGTTCTCACCGATGAAAGCCTTCTTCACGTTGGCCATGAGGCTTGTGTTCATGCGGGGCAGCCCCTCTGCTCGGTAAATTTTCACATAGAACCGGGCCCACTGGCGTTCGGGGGGCACCCCCTCGGGGAGCAGCAAGTTCCTGCTGGTGCATACAGTTAGGACTGTGGTGGCCAGACCAGGGCTCCCAGACTCCTGCACCAGCATCTACACACCCCTGGGGCCCAGGACAACATGTGAAGGACGGCTGAGAAGGACCATGCTAGGACTAAAGATGCTCAAGTTGATGGTACTTGCTCTCTAGTGGGATCCTGGGCAAATCTCCCCATCTCTCTGAGCCTCAGTTTCCTCACCTTTAAGATGGGAATACAGCCACCTCCCAGGAATATGATAAATAGGTTAAAATACACGAGTACTTTGTAAACTGTAAACTATAGAGCGGGAGAACCATCCTGGTAACACTGTCCCCTTTCCTAGCTGTGTGTCACATCTTTTCTCCCACACAAAAACGTCACCCATGGCCACCACGCTCCCTCCCCTGCCCACCGAAGTCATGGCTCATTGGATCCCAGCACTTTCTCCCACTGTGTTCAGACAAGGTCCCAGAATATTTCTCAACAGCCGCTGTCAGCTGCTTAAAATTGGCACAGAATACAAAATTTCTTTGCTCTCCTAGGTGTAGACTCAAGGCCCAGCAGCTCTGGGAATCTTCCCTCTTTTATCCAAGTTTCTCATAGTCAGAAGTCTGGATGTCAAATGACTCTTATTCCTGACTGTCCTCTGTGAACCCTGCCTGCCTTGCCTCAGGCCTTTCTGTCCCGTGTGGAGAGTCCATGGACACTGAGGCTGGCTCCTTTCAGGGAGAGCTGGGCCATCTGGGTGCGTGGGTGAGGGAGACAGACAGAAGGGCAAGATCTCTGGGCCAAGTTCACCCTGGGGGCTCCCTTTGTGCCCCTGGAAGGGCCGGGCCAGGTCTCCAGGGGCCAGGGAAGAAGGGCGTCTCACCCCTCGATGTCATCCTCGTCCGTCTCATTGGCCTTGTGGGGCGTCTTGATGTTGTCCCCCTTGCCCACCACGGCGACATCGCACTTCACATAGCCCTTCAGCCCCGCAGAGATGTCATCAGGATCCGACAGGATGGCCCACTTATGGTGGAACTGGTGCTCTGCAGTAGCGAGGAGGGAGGGCTGCACCTGCAGACCCTACCCAGGGCTGCTCCCTCCCTCAGGGCCGCCCCAGAGCCCCGGGCTGAGCGCCATGCTGGCCCTCAGAGTCCAGGCTATCAGGTCCAGGGGCCCTGGGGCCACAGCTCTGCCTGCCTCTGGGCCAGAGGGGAGAGAGTTCCTTGAGCAAGGGGGGCTGGGGCATGCACCCGGGGGTGTGGTGTGGCAGAACTGGCACACCTCAGGAGGAGGGGGCCACGTCCTAGGCTGCCCCAGAGCTTCAGGGTCTTGCTGGAGCAGACGTTTGTGGGACGGATACATGAAAATGTAGCTAGATGGCTGGGTGGGGAGATAGATAGAGGATGGGTAGGGGACTGCCAGGCTAGCTGAAAATGTAGATGGATGGATGGATAGATGGCAGATGGATAAATGGATAGAAGAATGGATTAATACATGGACAGGTGGGTGGATGGATGAATGGATAGATGGACAGATGTGCGCATAGTTGGACGAACTGGGGGAAATTTATCAAGGAAAGAGAATAAGACTCAGAAGGGACATAAAATTTGCCTTCAGAGTTAAAGGCTATTTGAAGAGGGAATGGATTTATTCTTTCTGTCCTTTCATAGAGAGATTGGGCTATGTGTTTTTAAGGTCTCTTGACGTTTCCATGATTTTTGATTTTGTGATTTTTATGTGTATAATCTTGGGTTTTGAACTTCAATTTCCTGGCCTGAATGATAGTTATAATGTGCACCAGCCAAGTGTCTGCTAGGCTGAACCATAAAGAATAACCAATTTGTTCAACCTAATAGTTTAGTGGCACCTCCAAGATACAACTTCTCTTGGCCTCATTTATCTCGTCTGTAGAATGGGAAGGAATGCTGATGCCTCCCTCACTGTTCTGTGAGGGTCAGATGTGATAGTCACACATTGTATTGCCACTGCTGAAGGGCTAATGAGGTCCTTACTGTACCCTCAGTGACAAGTTCACCTGAGGGGCTTGGGTGGAGCCCTGTGCCAGCTTGTGTGCCCGTGGTTCCTGGGCTGGCCGTGTGCTTAGTTGTTGTGTGTCAGGCCAAGGGCACTTTCTCTGCCTGGCCCAGCCGTCATCACCAGCCCTCTGGGCCACCCTTCAGAGTTCCTTCATCAACCCCATGCAGGGTTGGTCCCCGAGTTCCCATAGGCACAGCCCCACAGGGCTGTTCTCAGGTGGCCTGGGTCCCTTGATGAGTGGTCAGTGGAAGCGTTTTGAGGGCCCAGCGTCATGCATCTGGTGTTGAGAACAATGTGGCTTTGTTGGGACTCAATAAAGCCTAACTTCACCACAGACCAACTGGGTGACTGGGGAAGCCCGGGTGCTTCTCTAAGGTCCAGGCTCCTCGACTGTAAAAGGGGGTGATGCCGCCTACCCCGTGGGACTCCTGTGAACCCCGCAGACTGGGTGCAGGTAGTCACTGTGTTTGTATGCAGACTGGGCACCCCATTGCCCTGCAGACTCCATGGCTGTGTGCACTCATGTCCCCACCCAAGTTCACAGTCCTGGCCAGGCTGAGACCAGGGGCTGGCAGGGTGGGAAGGACAGCGTGCCCCGCGCTCCCGGAGCCGTGTGCACCGATGCTGACCGAGCCACGTGACTACTCACCAGGCTGGGAGTACACGGTTCCCACGTCCATCTTGAAGGACCCCACGAGGGTGCCACTGCGCAGCAGGTTCTTGGAGTGAATCACCTTCCAGGCAGAACCACCAGCCGCCAGTCAGGCGGGATGCGCTGAGGCTTTCCACGGGGCAAAGGGTTGACTCCTAGTAGTGGCACCTCACTCTTTCTGGGGACCTGAGCTTCACGGTGAAGCAGGAGGGCATCTGGCAGGGCAGGGGCGGCTCTCTGAGGCTTAGCATCAGCCTGTTCTGCCTTGCCTGAGTTTTGTGGGCTCCCAGGTACAGGTGAGCAGGCTGTACACTATACAGAAGCACCTGGCTGATGGATTGAGAGGGACCCAAATCCAGCTAGTGCTCTACTTGTTCAGATGTGTGTCTGGGAGCAGGTCTGCTTTTTAATGGCTGGCCCACCCAGAGGGGGTGCCCTTTGCAAGTCTGCACAAAGGTGCATTTTGAGCTAACAGCCCTGCCTGCCAGGGACTGTGCCCTACTCACCGAGATCTTGATGATTTTGTCGAACATGACATCAGGAGAGACGTGGAAGTCAAAGACGAAGTACTGGAGGGGGAAGGATCCAGACCTGGTATCACTCGGCTGGCAGAGGCTGAGTGCCGGGCCCCTCCCTCCTGGCAGTGCTTGTCTGCACCCTGGCCATTTCCCCTGAGCCCCGAAATTTAGATGAGCAGGAGGAGCAAGAACCACTGGTCCCCTCTGACTGTGGCGCAGCTGAGAGCTGTGTGGCCCTGAGCAACACATCTTCTGAACCCCAACTTCCTGAGCTGTCAAATGGGGGTAATGACCCAACTTAGATTCTTGTTACCAGGCTTGAAGAGGTACACGAGATACTGGAAGATACACTGTGGTGATAGGGGTCCCACAGACATCACCATTAAACTACAATGCTGCCTACACGATATGTCCCAGCTTCAGAGGTGTTAGCTTTCAAAATAAGGTGAGCCTTAGAACTTAGAACTGATGAACTTAATCTGCTGTCAGTGTAAATGCTGTCACTGTAACCTGTCCTCCAGCTGGGAGCTGCCACTCACAGGTGCTGCTCCCACCCATTTCTCCTGACCTCAGTGCTGGGAATGAGGGTGTTTGGCAGTGAGCAGAGGGCCCACTTTTTTGGTGAACTTGTGGGCAGGAGAAGGAAGAAATGTGGCCGAAGTGCTTGGAGTAAATGAGGAGAATCTGCTCCCAGCTGCTGGAGGCTCACACTAGAGCATTGTGGGTAAAAGTGCCAGCTTTAGAGCCAGAAAGACTGAGCTTTTGGGGCCGATCACTTTTTTCCGGAGCCTCAGTTTACCCCTCTATGACATGGGGGTAACGATCCAGAGCTGCCCTGTGGAACTGCTCCCGGGCACTATTCACAAGGTTGCTGGGAGGCGCGGTTATAAATCTAAATAAGATGACCCCAGTCAAGCACTCAGCCCGGGTCATGTCAGTGCACAATAAATACCAACTGCTACACTTCTGCCCAGGTGGTGCTGACCACGGCGGCTGAAGCTCTGGAGAGGTGGGTGGTCCATGCATCTAGACACGCAGATGGTAAATGACACCTTGGGGAGACACCCGAGGAGAGTAGGTAGGAACGTAGGAAAGAAGGCGGCCCAGGACAGGGCTCCAAGAAGCAGCAGCATTTCAGCAGTGGGCAGAGGGAGTGATGCCAACAGAGGCAGTGAGGAGAGGAGCTGGCAAGAAAGGGGAAAGCGGGAGAGGGGCAGGAGAGGTCCCCAGGGCCGGGGGGCAGCGAGAGGATGGAAGGACCTGGACGGTCAGGGGAGAGGGGACGATGGCAGACGCTAAACTTAGGAACAGCAAAGTCCGTGGTGACCAGAGGAGGGCAATTTCAGGAAAGCTGGAGGTGGGGGCAGAAGTGACTGCAGGGATTAAAGTGAGGAAGGAGGTATGTGGGGCTGAGGAAAGGCATAGCTTGATGGATAGACAGACAGGTGGACAGGTAGATGGAGACAGATGATAGGCTTCTAGCTCCTGCTCTCGAGCACAATAGTTTTGCATTGTTGTGCTTAGACTGTTAGAGGGAAATGCCTTGCAGGCAAAGGAGGAGGACAAAAAAAAAAAAGCAAAATGATGCTGAGTGGATGATGTAATGCTAGACTCTTTGGGATGCAGAAAGAGAATGATTCCAGACAAAGGGGAGAGGTGGTTTTAGGTAGAATGAAGACGCCAGTGGCCAGGACTGGATGCACCCATGGAGAAGGGGTCTCAGTCTGGTCTGTGGATGGTCAGGTTGTACTGAGAGAGTGATGGTTGTGAGCCTCCCTTCTCTAAAGACAGGTCTTCCTTCTCTATAGCCAGGCAGGAGGGTCAAGGCCAGACCGGGTGCCCCAGAGCTATGTCAGCCCTGGGAGAGTGAGCTAGCTAAGCTAGAACTCTGAGCTGCCTGTGCTCCTATTTCTTGTATTTCCTGAGCTTATTTCCTTTTTGTAATTACCTACATGATGTTGATTATTTTCACGTCCCTCTATCATGTTTAGTGGAGCCAAAGGCAGGTTCCCATCAACTCAGAGAATTAGCAGGAAGCGGTACACCCCTGGGACCAGGGGGCTATTATAAAAGGAAGAGGAATGTAGCCCAGGAAGAGAAGAAAAAAGAAAATTCCAGCTTTGGGGCTGGAAGGAATCATGGGAAGATAGTTTAGAGCTCTGGTTCTCAACTGGGGGCAATTTCAACCCCCTAGGGTGCATCTGGCAACGCCTGGACACTTCTCGGTTGCTACACCTGAGTGGAGGATTGCTATGGGTGTCTAGCGGGTAGAACCAGGGATGTTGCTCAGCATCCTGTGATGCACAGTGCTGGGTGTGAGGAACTCTGGTTTAGAGGAAACAGAAATTGAATAAATCAGAGTTACTTGGGTTTGTGAAAAGGAACAAAAATGTGATCAGGTCTAAATTGAAGATGGTCCAAAGATGAGCAGAATAAATAGTCTTAGTGGGTATAAATTTAGAGTTTGGAAAATAGATTCTAGGCTAGAACTAGGAGGTATCCTGTTTGCAGCCCCTGTGTTGCCAGGCACGAGCCTGGTGCACAGCAGATGCCCAGTGGATGTCTGTTTTTTCATTCGAGTAAGTATCCATTTGTCAAAGTGTTACCAAAGCCCTCCAGGTATACGCCAGGCCCTGGGCTGGGCTACAGCGATGCAGGAGACCAGGAGCCTCCCAGTTTAGACATGGAGGACCAACTGCAACTCAGCAATGTCATCGACAGAGAGCGAGGAACGCCCTGATCTCTGACCTAGAGAGTGCATGGAAGGCTGCTCAGTGCAAGGACATTTGAGCTGGGCCCTGCAGGGTGAGTAGGAGTTTGCTGCAGAGCCACAGAGTGGGGAGAACAGCTCTGTTTCCTTGGAAAGGAGGAAGCCATTTGAATGAAACATGAGGTGTGTGGGCCCAGTGCAAGGTGAGCCCCCCAGCCACGCCAACATGGCTTCGCCACTAGCAGATAACCATGGAAGGCCATGGGGGCCCTGTCTCCAAATCTGATAGGGAAGATTAGACTTCATCTAGGCTGCAGGCTTTTCCAGTCAGGGATATGTCCTGACATAAGGTCAGAGACATGAGCCTGAATTTCCTGACTCCTGGGAAGTTTGCCACGTGGGGCTGAGGAGTGTCCTGAACAGTGAGGTCCCAGCCCTGCGGGAAACCAGCTGTAAGAACAGGGCCCATTTGCGGTCGCTTGGGAGACTTCGGCCAGGCCCTGGCCATAGCTCGGGTTCCTGTGAAGGGCAGCTGTGCGCTTTCTTCCTGAAGGGGTGCAGCTGGGGGCTCCCACAGCCTCCTAAGAGATGTCCTCTCGTGAGTAGCAGATGGTGCCTTCCACCCTCACCACTCCTCAGGAGAGACACTGAGACACAGGACGCAGATGCCTCACGTGGGCCGGCCTGGCTCCCCTCACTGCCTGGAGCCACTGGGAGAAGCAGACTGGAAGCCCTTCCAGAAAAGGGAGGGCCGGGGCCCCCCTGCCAGTGACCTTTGGCTTAGTCCGATGTTTGTCAGGCGTCTGAGGGGCTTCCCTCACCAGAGCTGATTAAGATGGGTCCCTCCCTGGAGCCAAGTCACAATGCTGTATCTGGGGTGGCCATCCAAGGTGGCAGGCAGAGTGCTGGGCAGGGGCTGGACAGTCCAGGGCCCCACTCTGTCTATAATACTCTGCGATCTTGGCCCTTCCCAGATTGAGGCCTCAGTCTCCTTCCTGCAGAGGGAGGTTCAGGCACCCGTGACGGCAGCGGGCAGAGAGCGTGTGCACACAGAACCGACTCTGTCATTTAGCACCTGGGCCAGGTCCTTCTCCAGGAGCCTCAATGCCCCTTGTGTAAAACAGGATTGATGGTGACAACTTCTGACAGTTGTGAGAAGCAGAAGAGATGATGCCCTTAGAAGAGTTTAAGAGACGGCACAGCACATCGCAAGTGCTCATTTTGGTGCTGGTGCCACCACGGGCCGGGGCTCTGGCCTGGGAAACAGCTGGAACCAGGTCTCTCGGGAGGAAGGCTCGCTCACAGGCACTGCTGGGAGCTGCACAGGAGGGCCTGGGGCGGTGTTCTTTTCCCAGGGTGGCTCCTGGTCAGACCAGTGTCAGGCTGGGATCTAGACTAGGGGTTCAGAGGACATGGCACTGCACATCAGTGTCCTGAAGGTTGTAACAGGGTGGGCCAAGCTCACCCCAGCTGGTAGCCCTTTGTGCCCTGTGACTCCCAGCTTCTCCTGTTGGGCACAATGGGCTGGGACCCAGCCTCGGCCGCCCTTTAGAGGCCCCTTCCCCGAGGGCCCCGAGCACTGACCTCATTGTAGTAGGGGCAGTTAGTAGACTCCTTCATGGATGTGTACTTCTTGTCATCCCCAACCTCCACGCACACCACGGGGTCCATGTTCAAGCCCACCAGCTGCCGAGCCTCGATCACAGTGATGCTGACCTGCGCAGGTGAGAGTGGTGGGTGAGAGGGAAACCTGCCGAGGCTTGGAGCTGGTCCTGTTGGAGTCAGGGGCTGGGGCAGAGGGCTAGAGGGGGCAGGAAGCTAGCACTGGACTTGGGCGCCAGTCTGAGCACTGCCTCGAATCTGCTGGTGATCCTAAGCTCTTTCCCCGCTGAGCCTCAGTGTCCTCATTTATAAAGGAGGGGCATGGGCTGATCACCTCCAAGTCAGCGTGCACTAGAATTACCAAGGGGGAGGGTGGGGCAGTGGTTGAAGACCCTGAGGCCCCGACCACACTCCAGACCAATCCAATTCAATCTTGGGGGATGGGGTAGGAGGAATGGGGCCCAGCATCAATATTTTTAAAGCTCCCAGGTGATTCCAAGTGCTCTGAGTTCTCCCCCAGCATCGATGATCCTGCCTCACAGAGGACTGCAAACTTACTTCCCAGGTTTCATGCACTCAGGAATTAAGCTTTCTAAGTCTCCATTAACACGAATTTCATTTTCTGCTCCAGCATTTCTCATCATTTTTTTTTTTTGGTGGGAAGAGGTTATTAGGTTTATTTATTCGTTTATTCTCAGAGGAAGTGCTGGGGTTTGAACCCAGAATCTCCTGCATGCCAAGCATGCACTCTACCCCTTGAGCTATATCCTCTCCTCCAGCATTCTCATCTTAACCCTACCAGCCTCTTTTTTATTTCTGGAATTTGGCACACTTTCCGCATTCTTGGTTTCCCCTCCTTTGGAGAGTTGGTGTTTTATTGCTAAAACTGCTAAATATGATTTTACTCATGAGACCGATTTTCTCAAAAGAATAACTATGAAAATTATCATCTGCTGTGTCCATCAAAGTCTTATAAATATTCTGAAGGCCAAGAAAAATCCACACATCAAAATTAACAATGTTAAAAAAACAGAAACATCTATGCCCATGAGAATGTTGTCAAGCAAGTATATAGAACTGGAAACTGAACATTTACTAATTGAAGGAACCCTTGAACTATGAAAGCAAGCATTTCTATGTAGAACTTGAAATTCCAAAGGGAATGGAGCTGAAGCAGTGCAGTAATCAGTGCTCCTTCAGGGAGCTCAGAAGGAAACAGTGCCAGCTCTGAGAAGTTTATTGTGAAGAGAGTAAACAGACACTAGAAGTCCTTCCAGAATATTTTTAGCATAATATTTATAGAGTTTTAACCTCTATGAAACTTTTTATATCAAAAGTTTTAAAAAATCTAATTTTTTCCCACAACGAACCCATCTACTCCTCTCTATTAAAAAAAAACAAAAACAAACAAACAAACAAAAAACTTTCTGTAACTCAAGACTGGGAAGTAGACAGACACAGTTTTGGCATAATAAGATGCTAAAGATATTCCAAGATACTCCATCCAATGTGAGAGGTTGGCTGGTTTTTATGTTTTTCATCCAGAGGTCCAGCCATAATGATAGCCTTTTTGCCCCCTACTCCTTTTCAGTTCCCACAGTTTCCACCTTCCTTCACTGAGCAGAGCCAACAATGGTGGACAGCAGCCAAGAGGTAGGAGGTAGAGAGGGGAGAAGGCAGAGGGTTGAAAGGAGAAAAGGGTGCAGTGGGGTGAAGAGGCTCCAGTGGGTGCTTTTTGCTGGTGGAGAGGTGACCCTGAGGAATACCCTGAGAGTGCACAATGGAGGTTGCTGCATGGTATTGGTGGGGGAGGGGAATGCCATTCCTGCTGCCCCTCCCCCCACCTGGGGCTCTATGGAGGGGAAATGTATCACTTGGACTTGAAATTTTAAAAAAATTCTGAGGAAGGGGATTAGCCATCCTTTCCTTCCATTCTTCAATCATCAGCTGAGGACTCTATCTTTCCAAGATGGAAGATGAGGAAGCAAATAGTCACATAGGGACCAAATGACCCGCTGACCAAAGAAACTCTTATGGTAATTGGCTATTCCATCCTCTCCTTCCAAGATAAGGTGGCTTCGTGAATGTCATCGCAGGGAACAATAATGACTATAAATCTATACCTCTGTCCCGGGAGAACCCAAGAGTCATGGTGCTTTGTGACCTGCTTCTGAGGGATATGATCATGCTGCAAGAACATCTCTGGGAGCTGGAGGTGAGAGATGGTGGACCAGATAGTACTGCCCTTTTGAAACATCCTTTACATTGCCCTATCTCCAGGTGACAGGGATATGACATGACCAGATTTTCATTTTGAAAAGACCACTCCAGTGGTGGCATAGAGAATGCTGTGGAGGAGGCAATATGAGGGTAGAGAGACCAGACAGGAAGTGGGTGCCATATTGCAGTTGAGTTGGGGTCTCGGGTCAGTGGCAGGGAGATGCCATGGAAGTGAAAACTAGAGAGATGTTTGAAGGAAAAAAACATATATGGTCTTGGTGCCAGGAAGAGAGGGTAGAGACTGGATTCAAGACTCCATGACCCATCAATAACATCTCTGCCAAGCTTTGCCCATCTGATGCAGAAACTGCATATTTATCGGAGGAAGCTGTGGCGTCTCTCTTAAGATGCCAATAATCAGGAAAGGGTGCATATATTACATGCATTCTAAACAGACGAAACAAAAGGTATAGGTACACCATGGTCTTTTCACTTCAGGACCTCTTTTTAGTGGTACCCAACCTTTAGGATGGTTCTGAGCCCTGAGGATCCTTCCTGGATCTGGGTGTAGCTAAGTTCTCCTCCTTTCATGGGCTGAGGTCTTTCTAACTCAGCAAAGCCAAGTTCTCCAAGACAGTGAAGTTCATCTGATAGTTCTTCTTGCTTTATGCATTGTACTTATTGAAAGCAAGAATAATTCCACATTTGCATCTGCATAACTCTCTCTCCAAGTGTGTTAACATTTGCAGCTGAGATATCTACCAACCTGCCAGGGAATACTGTGTTACCAGGTTAAATGTAACCGTTTTGTTCAATTCAGAATGTTTACAAAGTCTTTGGAGGGAGACCATTCTAGTTCACTTAATAAAATTGAGGGTGTGGCCCTGCAAAGCTGAGGATCAGGTCTGAATCTGGGGAGGCTGCACTGGGTCCTGTTACCCTGTGTGGCCCTCTCCCAGCAGCAACCAGCTGTGCTGGTGCCCCATCCTGCCTGCACAGTGGCCACACTAACAATCTTACAGTTGAAAGTCTCTCCTTATCTCAGCCATTTGGTCTCCAGTTTTAGAAACATACAAATAAAAAAAAATCAAGTGTTAATTTCAGAAAAATGCAGTGAAACAAAAAGAAAAAAACCACCCACATTCTCATCATCTATAAGTAGCCAGGACTGACATTACTTTCAACATTAAAATAATACAAAATGACAATTTAAAAAAACACACTAAAAATCTTTTTTTCAGAGGTACTTTTATTTTAATGGTTGGAATTTTTGTGTGCTTGCTTTTTGGTCTCTTTATAGTTTTTCCAGATCCCTCTCACTTTATGAAGTCCGTTGCTGGACACAACATCTTAAGAGGGCTTGGAACAGCACAAGCAGTTCTCAAGCTCCTTGTTGGGTTTGTACCTCTGTTTGTACCAGTGTTGTGAGTGCCTCCCAGAAACAAGTTTACTTTGAGAACTTATATTCAGCGTGTGGTTCTCTATGACCCCCAGATCCATGCCTCAACATCTAGCCATAATCCCCCACTAGAGCAGAGCTGGAAAGGCACAAGGCAT